CTTCTATTTGTGCAGAGAATCCAAACATAGACATTGTTCTTGTTAAAGTGGTAATTGAAGTTAGACAGAAGTATGCAAGAGAAATGTCAGCTGCTATTCATAGAATAGCAGTAAAAGATGGAATGCGAGTGACTGGTTCTTCTCAGAACTCTGTTTTAAGAACTGCTGCCAGCTAATTGAATATCTGGATGGGTGATCTGTCTGTTTGTGTTTCTGCGTATGCGTCTTTGTGTGCATCTTTTAAGCAAAATTGTATTGCTTTTTTCAGATGGTTATGAAAATGCAAAGAGCCTCTGTGACTTATATTATATGAATTCTCCAGAACTTATTCTTGAAGAGAAGAATGGTAAGCGTGGAAAGGGGTGGATTGGCTTACTCATTGGCTGTTCTTAACCAATTCCTAGCAGGTATTACCATATCCTCTACTTTGCCTTGGACTTACTTTAAATGTTTATGTAATAGTAGATAGTTTTTTAGTTGGTTATAGAACTAGCCTGCTTATATTGCGAAGTACTGCAGTTGGTGCTTTGACTCTATGTCATGAGAAATGCTAGAATCATTAGATAGAGAGATGGACAATATTTAGCATGTGTTCAGAGTACATCCTATAACAATAACTGTTTGTACATACTCATTCACTACAGCAATTGGTTTTAAGAAGCTAAGCGCAATTATCTGTGCCATGTTTTCAAATATGCCTGTCGGATATGGCTAGAATTCAATGTAAAATAATATACTGACTGAAAATGCACAGCATTCAGTATCAATCAAGCTAAACCTAAATTAGAGTTTCTCTAACTACATCGTACATTGTGTCATACTTATCTCAAATAGTGCAATAAGTGCCAAGAAATCTGTCATTTGCTTTTATTCTTTATTCTTTCGACATTTTAGCTAATCTTTATTCAAAATGCATTTTGAACTTCTATATCTTGATGTATATGTAGCACATATTCTCCATTCTCCATTACATTTGGACATCTTATACATCATATGGAGAACTTTTGGCCTGTGAAAAAGCTGCAACAGCTTTCTGTGGTTATGACTAGAAGCAGGTATGGCGGTTCTGTATATAATGACCAATATAGACATATCATAATCCAAATGGATCTGTAGTATGAATTTGCAAAAGTATTTAGGTTGCCCCAGAGATTCTATAGCATTGTCTTTCTTCCTTTTTGGTAGATGGTATTTCAGAAACCTTGGTGGTAGGCCAAGGTTAATGGTAATACTAATAATAGTAGTTGCCCCTTTTGGGGTGGGCTGACAATATTATTTGCTTACTAATATGGAGCAGTGAAGTGGCCTAAAAGTGAAGACACTTGCCTCCCACTCAGAAAGTCAAGAGTTCAATCCTAGGCAGCCACAGATATTTTTCTCTATCAAGGTGCAAAGAGAAAATAATTGCTGTGAACTCCACGTAGGTGCCAGGAAGGGCATCCAGTCAGTAAACGCTCAGCTCCATTCGGTCACCCCGACTCTATCCCAAATAAAGTTATTGAAGGGTCATAGAAAGGAAAAATTATTTGCTTACTAATGCTTTTGTACAGTTATTCCGGTCTTCAGTATCATTTTAGATGTAATAACAATTTCTATTGCCTGTTCGGGGTGTTTGGTTGTATTAGTTATTTTATACAGAAAGGTAGATTAAAAATAATTGAAATGCATCAATTACGTATGACTGCAGTATTAATGTGAAGAATTAATGTATAACCTGATATAAGTTGCTACTATTAGCTATCAATTCAGTGTTGACTCTCAGCAACCATATGGATAAATCTTCTCTACGACTATACAGTCCGGTCCTTCAAGTCTTCCAACTGTGTGGTTTGTGTTTCAACATGAAAATTAGATAAGAGCTGTTTGGAGTAACTTCATATGCATAATTGCCATTTTGTAGCTATCATTTCATTTAAACAATAACAGTTTTTGGAGAGGCATAGAACATGAAAACATTATCTAGTTTTAGTAATTATTGTTAAAAGATTTTTCTAGTAATTACAACTGAATTGTGTAATGTTGTTTAATCCTTCGTATTCTGGGTTAGTTTTAACACTATACATTTTATTGCTCTCTTTGTGTGTGCGTGCGTGCATGTGTATGCACACATATGCACAACTACCTCATAATAGATACCTTGAAGAATAATCGAATATTGATAGCTAAACACAATCACATTAAGAATGTACATGCTGTTTTAGTCACTGGGTCTAAAGCCAACATAAAGAGACAATTGGAGAATAAGAAATTTTGTTCTGACGTGTCATGCCTTCATGACATGGATGTGTTAAATTGACTTTTTTTTAAAAAAATGTACTTTATATATCTGCTGTTGAGAACAGAAGTTTTCTCAAACGTAGGTTTCGAATAAATTTTCTTAACAATATTTAAGTATGTATATATACATGTGTCCTCAACTTATGACCCGGTTTTGAAGTTCTGGCAACTCCCCCCACTAGTTTTGTGATTGCATTCTGGGTGCTTGACCACATTTATGGCTGTTTGCAGCATCCTGCAGTCCCATTACTTTTTACCATTCCCCCCCCCCCCCCCCCCCCCAAAAAACGGCATTTTAGTTCTAGTTTCTGGCAAAAAAAAACCCCTATTGGGTATGATGGGTTTGTTTAATGACTGTGGCATTTGCTGAACAGCCATGTTTTTTGTTTAATACCACCACAAAAGTCATAAAATTGGGCGTAGTCACGTGACCTGCTGAACCTCCATGATTTACAACCGTAATTCCAGACTCAATTACAGTCATAAGTAGAGGATTACATGTATATGCCCACATTTATAGTCTTATATAAGTAAAATGTATTGGGATCCCGATAAACACGACAGTAATTCTATTTGCCCTTTCGAACTTTTATCTCTCAAATAACAGACTTTCACAACTGCAAGAAAGACTGCTCTTAAAGAGAATTTCAAATTGAGTTTGCAGTGTGCTATGAGTGTGTGTGTGTGTGGGGGGGCTTTATAACTCTACAGTCTCATGTGAACCCTTAGGCAGGACCAAAGTAAATGGATCTTATAATCTCTCCGCTACAAATTGTTGACTCATGGAGAGGCTACCAAGATTAACAGTGGCTGTTGCTATACAACTGATCTTTTTCACTCACCTTGTTTTGCAGTAAAATCACCAGGGCAGCCTATGCAAGTGGTATATGTGCCATCACATCTCTACTACATGGTTTTTGAGCTTTTCAAGGTTTGTACTGATCTCTTCTATGCACTCTTTTTCTGTTTCCCTTAGTTAGATTATCCACACATAATAACCTCTTCCTCTTGTATGAAGAAGCGTGGGTGGGTGGGTGGGTAGGAGGAAGCTTTTAAGGCAAGTGACTAAATTCTATTCAGTATATCAGGGATCCTCAATCCCCCGTCTGTGGACCAGCACCTGTCCATGGCATCCAGAAACTGGGCCATGCAAACAAGTGAAGCCCCATCCACGGGATGCAGGCAGCATGCAAAACCACATCCCCTCCGTTCCACGGAAAAACCTTTCTCCATGAAACCGGTCCCTAGTGCCCAAAAGTTTGGGGCCAGCGCAGTACATAACCTGTGCATTCATAGAAGATCTCTACTGAAGTTTCTGTCTGATTCTGCTTCAGGAGCATTGCCAGTCTCCTGGCTGTTTCTGAAAAAGTGAAACACTTTTCCTGCACTTTAGAGCCAGGTGTACCTCTCCACACCTTTATAGATCTCCATTGACGGTGAGACTGCTTGTGTGTTTGGGAACCTGCAGGAAAACAGGTAAACAGATAAACCTATATCAGAATAGGAAGGCCACACTATTCTGAGAATTCCTACACTGCCAAAGCAGTTGCTTCCCTCAGATTTGGAAAACGAGTCAGATACATTTATAGAAGATGTTTTCTTTACTCGTTGAGCAAAAGTGTATATAAATTGACTGTAAATACATATTTTTTAAACATTAGAATGCAATGAGGGCTACCATGGAACATCATGCAGAGCGGGGAATTTACCCTCCAGTTCATGTCCAAGTTGCGTTAGGCGCTGAAGATTTAACTGTGAAGGTAAAGAATTTAGTCTTAACGTTTTCTGTTTAAGTCTGACAAATGACTCGCAAAAAATAAAATAAAATAAATGCAGGGATCTGTTGCAGAGCCACCACTTCATTTCTTTCTTTGACCTGATCAAATGACTATGAATTATTTTACTTCTAGGGTTTGGTTATTTTTAGCTGCCTACAGGTAGTCCTTGACTTATAGCAGTTCATTCTGTGACCGTCCGAAGTTACAAAGGCACTAAAATAAAAGTGAGTTATTGGACATTTTTCACACTTACAATTGTGACAACATCCGCGTGGTCATGATGTCAAAATTCAGATGCTTGGCGACTAGCATCTATTTATACAGTTGCATTGTCCCAGGATCATGTAGTAACCATTTGTGATCATCCAAGCTGGCTTCCCAACAAGCAAAGTCAGTGGAGAAGCCAGAGTCACCTGTTACTAAATTAACAACTGCAATGATTCACTTTTAACAACTGTGGCAAGAAAGGTTTGTTAAAAACAAGCAAAATTCACTTCACAACTGTCTGGCTTAGCAACAGGAATTTTGGGCTCAACATTTTGGTCCTAAGTTTGGTCGTAAGTGGAGGACTACCTGTATTAATTTTTTATATACTTGACAGATGTTTTATTGTTTGTGTTTTACTGTACTGTATTATAAATTGCCCAGAATTACAGGAATAGGTAACACATAAATAATTCGAGAATGAAAGGGAAGGGGGTTGGGGGTGGGGTGACATCCTAGACTAAACATTGCCTCTAAGTATTCAAATGGAAGCTATGGACGGAAAAGTCTTTCACCAGCTACACCATTTTGCAATAGGACCAACCTGGCCACTATCATGGATGCTTTATTTGCATCATGTTCTGAATAGCTTTCATTGCACTTTGGAAATTATTTTAAAGCTTCAATTCATTAATTTTATGTCAGTGTTTTATCGTATTATTGAATATTTGAATAAAAGACAATTTAATAACCTTTTCCTCTGTTGGAGTAAGTAAGAAGAGTCTCTTGGTCTGTTTACGTAGATCAGGGAATGGTTGTATGATTGTAATTTATCTGTTGTTTCTGGAATACTTTCTTAAGAATGTATTATTATTGATTGATTATATTGATTATTGATTGATAATATGAGCTATTATGTAACATAATTATATTAGTGACTAGGAAATGGATGCACAAAAAAAAGTGGTAAACCAACCGATGCACTGTTTGTAAATTCATGAAGAAGGATGATGTTTTTATGTTTTATGTGGTATGACTATGTTGTTTTGTTGTTAAAATAAAAAACTTTAAAAAAAAGAATGTATGTAGATATAGGCACATACCAAACATAGGAGCTCAATACTGTATAATATTTTCCCCACACAATTTAGATGTGCGACCGTGGTGGTGGTGTTCCTTTGAGGAAAATAGACCGACTGTTTAACTATATGTATTCAACTGCACCGCGTCCCCGTGTGGAGACATCACGAGCAACTCCTCTGGTTCGTAATCTGTATAATATTTTACATTATCAGTTACGAAATGAAAAACTCAAGTTCTCCTTATTTTTCCAGGAGCTTTTTAAACATGGTTCCTCTGAATTTGGAAGGTAAAGCATAATGAATTCTGAGACATTCTATATATAGAAATAATTTCCCCCCCGCAACCCCTTCTTAACCCCCATCAATTGTTTGAAATTGGTCCATGATTGCATTTGCTTTTGCTCAATTCAGAAATGTTGGGAAGAAAGATAAATGAAGTATGGACTTGTCTCAAATTGTTGCAGGTCCTAAGGCAGCTATAAAATCCCCCCCACGCCAATCCATCTTAAAGGAGGGGGAGGAGGGAATGAAACATTCTCAGTAGCTTAGCAGTTTGGATCCTGTCTGGTTTCCTACTGAGAGAGAGAGAGAGAATGGGACAACTTGCTGAGAGAGAGAATGGGACAACTTGCTGCAGCCAACTCATCACAGCTAACTCTGTGCAGGACAATGGAACAATTCTGTTTAATTATTTAAAATAAATAAAAAATATTTTAATTTTTGCCATTCCCATTTTGTTCTGTTCCTCCTTTTGCATCCTTTCTTAAATGATTCTATTCCACCATTTCTTTGCTATTAGTGTAACTCTTGTCCTGCAAGTTGTCCTGTGGCAAAGTGGTCGTGGCGAGTTGTTCTGCAGCGAGTTGGCTGTGGTGAGTTAGCCATGGTGAGTTGGCTGTGGCAAGTTGATCATGGCGAGTTGGCCATGGCAAATTGTCATGGACCCGAGAGCGGAGAGACTGAGAAGCACTTGCTAATCTTATCTCTGCTGATTTTGCCTGGGTTATAGAGAAACCTGGGTAGCCATTAAGACTGATATTATCCTTGCAGCTCCTGAAATTTAGGAGCTTGGAGGAGAGATGAGGTGAGCAGTAGAGAAATGGAGCTGAAGCATCTGCAGATGAACAAAACATTAAGTCTGCGGTAGTTTTAACCACTGGAAATAAATAAGTTCAGCTTTCTAACACTGTTAGTATTATTGAAATCCTGAGCCCTGGAGCTACTTTGAAACCGATGCTGAATTCTTGAGTAAAAATCTATCCTGTGGATTTTTAGGGGCAAAACAAAACAAAAAAATTCCAGGAGAAAAATAAAACTTCAGTCGTGAGCTCAGGAAGATCCCATTTTGGAGTATTTAAGAAGCATGCAACTTATTCACTTCATATATTTGCTGCTTTCCATTATAAATCCCAAAGTGAGCGACGATCGGTTAAACTGCAAATATTAACAATAGCTTTAAAGCAATGTGATGTGATTCCAGTTTTAGAACTGAAAGTAAAAAGAAACGAAGCAAAATGATACATACAGCATTCATACAAAGACAGCTTGATTATGGGTCTTTATAGGCGCCTGCTAGATTTCGTTATAGTTTTCCGTGTGAATTTCAGCATTTCAGAGTGAATGTGCCTGTGCATGAAGATGGCCCGCCTTCAGGAGGGCATTTAGGGGAATGCTTTGAGTCTGACTCAGTTGGCAGTCATTGTAATTGCTTCAGTAGCAGAATAATAACTACACCAATGGTTTTCTTACAATGTCCTCAAGGCACCCTTGGCATAGTTGCTACAATATAGAGGCATCTGTTGCTCTTCTTTGACATTGTCCTGCAAGTAAGATTAGAATTAATGGAACTCAGTGTCTCCAGTCCAAGAAATAATTCAAAACTAAACAAAAATCAATGGTACCAAAAATACCCAAGGAATCAAACATGACCAACACTTAGAATCTTTCTCTTGCAAGTAAATATATAGGCCTATCATGGTGAATCTATGGTGCGCGAAACCATGTCACCCGGCACGCATGGCCTTGCCTGTTGGTCTTCCGGGTTTCTGGTATGCATTTGCGTGTGATGATCAGCTGTCTTTCGTGTGTGCGGCAGTGCCAAAAAACGGTGTGCACATGCACGCCGGCCAACTGATTGTCAGGTGTGCATGCACGCCAGAACCCGGAAGTTCGGTTTTTCCGGAGTACAATCCCTTCATGCGCGCTGCAGTGCCAAAAAACGGCCTGTGCATGCATGCCAGCCAGCTGATTGTTGGGCGTGCATGCACGCTAAAACCCAGAAGTTTGACTGTTCCAGGGTGTGGCCCTGATGAGCATGTATGTGCCACATTTTTGCGTGATTCGCCATCGCTGATCTAGGCAATCAAGTCTGAATTTAATTCAAAATCAGACCTGAACCAATCTTTAAAAAGATTAAGAGAGTTGCTGTCCTCCACTTATTTGACATTGTGGGCAAATGTCATTTCTCTTTCCTCTGTTCTAAAGTGTTGGTTAACTGTTCAAAATCATACCAATTTTAAACTTACTCCTGACCAGAGTGGCTTATTTGGATTAATAAACCAATTAACCAAATGATCTAGTTGCATAGGACAGAGAGTGTTTGAGAGTAGAGCTCAGAGCTCACTTTTGTGATTACAAAACTACTGTATTTTATGATGGTTTATTGTAGGTCAAAAAAGGCACAACGACATTTTTCTGGATAGAGCTAGGCTCCAACATTAGCTCTCTTCACTTTAATATTAGCACTTAACGGATCTTGAAATAGGTACAATATCTGTAAAGACTTACCAAGAGATGCAGGTGAGACTCCATATAAGATCTGAAGCACCCCTCTCCATGCAAATTGGAAGAATTGCATGGCCCTAGTTACTATTCCTGTATCAGTTATGGCTAGTATTTTTTTTCTGAGCAATGTAGCGTTGTTCTCCAGTGGGATACGAAGAAGGTTTTGGAAATACTATGTTCACATTTTCTTGAGCGGAAGCACAGAAAAACTTTAACCTCATTTAAGGCCCTGATAGTTTGGTAGAGCAAAAGTGGATGAATGCCCCAGGTTTGCTGTTTGTGGGGGCAGGGGGTGAAGGCAAAGGGCCATATCTTTTCAGTTCAACTTTTTTTAGACTACTTTTCTGTATTACATCTGTGAATGTATGATGGGGGAGGAATTATTTAACAGGTTCTTCTGCTTCTAATAGCAGCTTGGATCTGTGGGCCCTGGCTGATGAAATTTCTGAGATGCATTTGTCTTCTGTTAACTAACAGATACAAATAATTTTATAACCTTACCTGCGAGGACTAGTGGTCAGCAGCAAAACAAAAAGGCTGCAATCCCCGCCTGGAAATAGCCCCACTAAACTCTGAATGTTCCTATAGGAGAAGCATTTCAGGAACTATGGAGAAGAGAGAAAAGGCAAAGTGCGAGTTGTGCAAAAATTCCTTGGCATCAATGGGAAAAAAAGCAGAGAATATTAATGTCTTCATGTTGGATTGTGCTTTCGTTTTCTTTTTTGTGGTAAATGTAATGTTTTGGCCGCTTCATCTGTCCTTTGACGTTAGATCTGCTTCAGACGTTTCGAATTTTCGGTTGTTTTTGTTTTTGGCTTAGGCTGGATTTGGTTATGGTTTACCTATATCGCGCCTGTATGCTCAGTACTTCCAAGGAGATCTGAAGCTCTACTCTCTAGAGGGTTATGGCACAGATGCTGTTGTCTTTATAAAGGTATGTCAGGGACTAGTTGTGGCGGCAAATTCCTTTCAGTTTAAAATACAAAACTTGTTCCTAGCAAGCTATTAACTCTGCCCTCCTTTCTTTTGGTGCAGGCTTTGTCAACTGAGTCTGTTGAAAAATTGCCGGTGTATAACAAATCGGCCTGGAAACATTACACAGCCAATCACGAAGCAGATGACTGGTGTGTCCCAAGTAGTGAACCAAAGGACATGACAACCTTCCGCAGCACATAGCAGCAGGAGGCCAGGCATGCTGAGTCAAAGAGGGTCCTTTCGCCTATGGTCAGCTTACTTATTAGTACCACTACCACATATTTTAACGGGGAAGGATGCATCTCCCTATCCAAACTGGAGTCTGAAAACCATATCATTGTCTAGAGTTTTCTACAGTGTTCATTTCTAACAAGTGGTGTTTTTTCCGTCTTTGCAACTTAAATTACTTCAGCAAATGCACCTTAGACTACTTGAGCAAAGTCAAGAGGATAAAAAACCCGAACAGTGTGCTCAAATATTGTCCTGCTTAACCACCAGCCATTCCAGTGAACAATTTGTTGTATATTTCCTTTATACACCTCCTCTGGGAATCAGTTGCACTAGCGCAGCCTTGTGCTCTCAAGGACTTCAGAAGGGCTTTACAATGTGAGAAAAACAATGTGAGCTTATCTCGTTTGTTTAGTTTTTGTATTAAACATTATGCGGAATTGATTAACTGGTTGCTGTCAGCGTAAACAACTCCTTAGCTTGATATTTATAGGTATATATTTACAGCTAGACATAGAAGTGCTTGTGCTTCATTTGTTTTGTTTTGAAAATTGAACTGTTTTAAATCTTCGTCACTGAAATAAATGATACTTCAAAGGACTTGAAGCACTTGGCTTGTCCAGATGTAGCGTTTTCCCAACTGGGGAGAGCAAAGCAGATCTTTTAAGGATGCAGGGCCACCATGTCCTCAGAAAGGAGTCTGGCCTCTGAGTTACTATCAAGTTAAGTAGGCAAAAGCTTGTAGTCTTATTTTTCCTCTGAGATATTAATGGAATTTAAAATTGTACGGCTTGGGCTGAATTTTCCATTCAAGTTCAGGAAACTTAGTAATGTTGATAAAACCCTTCCTAACAGAATGCCACTCATACACAAGTGTTGCCAAATACAGTTGGTCTCACAGAGTTTGATCACAATATGCGAGGAAAGGATTGCAATGAATTAGTTTCTTTTCACATTTATTCCACTATTTCCATGGAACAATAAGATGTGCTTGCTTTCTAAGAAAACAGAAATTGGAACGTTATATTGTGTCATTTTATTTATATTCCTTATGGCATATTTTAATGATTATAATTATGTTTTCCCTTTCTGCAAGGGAGATTTGACAAATGACTTAGGTTATTAAAAACAAATTTCATTCCACTGAAGTCAGTTGAATACTGATATCATTGCTAATCCTTTACTTTTGTAGTTACTTAAAGTGGTATGTCTACTCAAAAATAAAACCCCATTACACAAGTAAAGGATGTAACTTGAAACTGCAGACTTAAATACATCACATCATAAATCCCATTGAGTAGTACTGGACTTAGTGAGACACACACAGAGAAGGTTGGGTTAACTCCCTCAGCTGATACTTGGGAAAGCGTCATACACACCCTGAGTGATTTGAAGCCCCACCCCACTGCAGATTGGATTCAGGACCTATTTCCCATTTTCATTTCAAGTCAAAAGATAACTAGAATATTTTTGTCTGACTGACTGAGATGAAAGTTTCAGAAAACCATCTAAGGAGGAGTGGTGCGATGGCCTAGAGGTGGAGCTCTTGCCTCACAATCAGGAGACTTGAGTTTGATCCTAGGTAGAGGCAGATTTTTCTCTGTCTGGGCACACTGAGAATGTATCTGCTGAACAAAACTCCGTATTGGTGACAGGAAGGGCATCTGGCCATTAAAACACTCTGCTAGTTCCATTCAGTTGCCCAGATTCCACCCTGCAAGGGATTGTGGGGTCATTAAATGATGATGGTGAGGATGATTGGGTTGTGTGCAAAATGAAACAACAACATACTTTGAAATTAAAACAAACCAGCCCCATTTGCAAAATGCCTGTTAACAGCTTTGGGGTTTCTCTCATCAGGGAGGCTGTTGTTGAGCATTAATTAGTTCGTAATCATTGTACCACTCCACTTAGGGGTAGGAGACAAAATCCTGTATTCCATCAGGAATCTCGAAGAAATAATATATTGCACCTCTAAAAAATAATTATTGGTCAGAAGATGAAATACATCCTCTCTTCCAGCAAAATGAGCCCTGGTTTATAAAAAATATTACAGATAGCTAATCAGGACAATTAAAATGATAAGAGTGCAAAGCAGTTACAGTCACTAGATCAACACATAAAATAAGCTTCTTTCTGCAAGTAAAAACCATTTACCCACTACATAAAAATTAGTTAATTTCCTTCTGTTGTGCTTCATTGTGTTCCAGTATGGTTTCAATTCTCAAGCTTTTTATTTTGGAAATGCACCTTTTTATATCCCTCTTCTCCCCCCACCCTCCATACTCCCCAGTTACTCGGACAGGCTGACCCCAGGTGATACGAAGTTATCCTCCTCCACAGTTGCGATAGAACATTTCAAATGTTTGATGGAACAAAACTTTACCTGCTATGAATCTTATTCCTATAGGGAACAATGGCCGAATTAGCTTCATTGTTTTAGTCTTGGAACCACCAAAGAAAGGGTGGTGGCAGTCCATCCTGACTGCTTCTTACCACAGAGAAAATAGCCATGTTTAAAATGTTTTTAAAAACCTGTAACCAGTAATGAAGAAAACAATTGTTCCGCATAGCCATAGAACAGAGCCCGGTGAGGAAGCATCATCCGTTGTCTCAGGTCAGCAATTCATGGAAGAAAAGCAACAAAAAGACAAATTCCTCCATAACAAGGAATTTTTAAAATTCATCATGCTTACCAGGGGTGGGATTCAAAAATTTTAACAACTGGTTCTGTAGGTGTGGCTTAGGTGGTGGGCATGGCTTGGTGGTCATGTGACTGGGTGGACATGGCTTGGTGGTCATGTTATTGGTTGGGCGTGGCCAACTCAAAATCACTCACATCGAGGCATGCATCTCCTCGCCTGGCCTCTCATGGCTGTGGGGTTGCTGCAACAGTCGTGTTAAAAATGGTCATAAGTCACTTTTTTCAGTGCCATTGTAACTTTGAATGGTCACTCCACACAAGCAAAGTACCAGCAAAGGAGGGGAAAAAAACTCCAGAGACAGGAAGTCTAGTCCTGCCAAGAATGTAATAAGGGTTATCGGAGAGGCAGTTTCTGTAAGCAACACCAGAATGTTTCCTTCCTGCCTTCCTTACAGGATTAGGCCAGTAATTTCTTCTAACAACTGGTTCTCCGAACTGCTTAGAATGTTAACAACCGGTTCCTGCGAATAGGTGCGAGCTGGTAGAATCCCACCCCGATGCTTACCTATCTTCCTTGTGTCCAAAATAAATCTCATTTATCGACTTGCCCATAAACCAACGTCCATTGTACTGGTTCCCTCCTGCTCAAATAGCTCTGAACAATAGCAGTGGTAGACCCGAGCAGTATGGCTCTTCCTTTATGAATGACTGCCTTCGTTATAAGCTCCCATGTTTGGGAGAATAAAAGACAAGGTAGATCAAAGGTGTCAGAAGACCCAGGACTTGTTTGGAAAAAAGGCCTTTTTGTTCCATGTTTAACAAACTTGAGAAAGCTATTTTGAGTGCAAAGCATTTTAAATGTCCCAGTGCAAGTGTTTTTTGAAACACTTTACATTATACTTTTATTTTTTTTAATGGAAATTGCTGATCACTTCTAGGCTAACTGGTGAAATTTCTTGGGAAAAAGGTTCTGAGAGCAGCCCTGTTAAATTCCTTATGAAAAGGTTCAGGCCGTTTGTTGGAAAAATAGTATTTCTATTTTGAGTTTCCTTTATAGGCAGTTGTTAGAAGAATAATGGAAAGTCTAGAGATAGCAACTAAGGAATATCCCTCTCAATTACAGTCCTTAGGGCCATAATCCTTAACACATTTTTACATTGGCGAAAGCCTTAAAACACGACAGTGCCAAGGTATAGATTTTAGATGATCAGGAAAATAGCAGACTAGAGTTACCTTTGTGTTGGGAAATTTTACATTTCCTCTATCATAAACTATAAATGTATTAAATCACAGGATAAGGTTATCCTTTCAACACTGGTAGATCAGTGCTGGTAGTTTTCAAATAAACAACAGTACATAGTAAGCGTACATTATGGAATTAATCGTTGTTGGAAGGAAACATTTTGTTACACGAATCATCAGTCAGGAGCTTGATAGCTGGTTTTGGCCCTTGAAAGTTAATTTTTCAAGCTCAGGTGTCCATTTGAACTGCAAGAAAATATGATCTGGGGTAAAGGACCAGAGAAAGATTGGATTAGTATTTTCTACCCTTGAATGAATTACAAATGTCAACGGCACTCAAGTAAGCCTATGGTCTGATAATCCAATAATGAAATTATCTGCCACATGCCAGACTGAAAATGATACAAATAGGTTTAATTCGATTTGCATATAGGCCTTTGGGTGTATGTATATTTTGTCCTTACTGAAAAGAGATGGTATAGGGTGTTTGACAATTCATATTATTGAAAGTTTATAGAAAATAATTGTTTAAGCTACAAAATGGATTTATCTGCTGTTATTTTGAAGTTTGATTTCTATTAACACAGTATTTAAAATAAACTTATGAAATAAACTATAAATTTATGGGAATTTCACACAACTAGATACAAAAATCAGTGTCCTCATAGTTGAAATGTAAAATGGAAAGCAATCACACCTTTTGTTTTTAGTCTTATCCTATGAAAAGTTGGATTTGTAAGAAAAATGACACTAATTTTTGTAAAAAAATTAAATAAAGTTTGACTTTTTAAAAAAGGCCTACAGTGTATTGAATGGGTGATAGCTCCTGTTTCAAATGAATTTTCAATTCATTCTGGTTACAATAAATGTTTGTAGTCTACTTCTCTGAACATATGTGACTATGCACTGAAACATTTACATTTTGTAGAGAACAGAAATCTCATCCTAAAAGGTTCAGAGACAAGTTAAAAAGAAAATTTAAATCCGATCTCTCAATCCAGGTAGTGAACAGACTCTGAACACTCTGAAGTTTTTGTCATTTGAATTTTTTTATTGTCTGTCAGCTACCTAGACCAGATCAAGTCAATGCAGTTAGTCAAAGCAAGGTCATGTGTGGTATTGTGTAATTTCAGACATTTCCTGTGATTAACTGTGTCATAAACTACAGATAAGTTTATGGAAACAGCTCCTGTGATTAGACTTGATTGAAAGCCATCCCCTAATATGCTGGACAACTTTTAAGTATCTGACTTGTGCAGGATTTCCCTGGTTAGAAACCTGCTTTTGGGGAAATAAGAGTTGGTTCAATAACAGGAAACATTCTGCTTATTAGAACTCTCATAGAGTTTAAAGAGGTGGCAGGTGAGGAAAGTTTTACAAAAGTTCTTTGGATTTTTCGGTTCTTTCCCAGATTTCATAAATTCAGTAACGTAGGCTTTCCTCCAGATCATCAGAGAATATACTTTTGAGGCCATACAAGTATTTAAAAGTGAAAACAACCATTGCTTATTAAAATTTCCATTTTTTAAAATTTGTTCAACACAAATATCATCCTATTCCATTCTTCATATCTTGTATTATTGTTTCTGGTTCTTCTCTATAAAAGGGTGAGGATAATAACACTGGCCTCCCCTTCCATCGGCCTTGGAAGCCTGCATTTGTTAAGTCTCCCCTTAACCCTGCCATTTAACAACGGCTGATGAGCTATTTGGTTTGCCATGATGTTCTTATATTGATATGAATTTGTTGAATCATTATTCAGATGTTTCAAGCTTCCAGCACTTCTGACTATTCTTTGTCAAATCATTTGATTCCAGGGTGGCCTTCCATTTCTGCAAGGGGTGCCATATTATCACCAGCTTCAATTGTTTCTTCAGGAAATGGGTTTTCTTCACATTCTGGAATAGTTATTAAGATGAGGCATAATATCTGGAGTGAGTCTTGGTAAAAAGTGAGTTCAGCACCCTCTAGGAATAGATTTTCTGGGCACATAGGTTACAGTTTTAACAAAAAGATTGTAATTTTCTGTGAAAAACATATGTGAAAAATGAACCATAACTTGGGTTCTTTGAAACAGTAGGTTTTTTTTAACAGTTTGCCTATTAGATTACATTGGGCAACATTCACAAGCATTAATAATGTTCAAAAATTCAGATTTTTCTTTTTTTGAACAAAATTTATTCCATTTTTCAAAAGTGTCATTCTAAGATAGTGTATTTTACAAAAGATTGTGCTGCTGCTCAATGGCAAATTAACTGTGATTTACACCATTCTGGAGAACAAATAATTATTCATGAAAACAAAGACATATTGAATTCTATAGTGTAAATATGTATAATGCAGAAACCTTCTGTTTAATTTAAATAGTGAGATAAGAATAAGTCTATCTGGAAAACGTAAATCTGGAAGACCAACAGCATGTAAAAATCATCAAAAATATAATTTGGTCCTCAAACATTTAAGTAGGAAAGGGTTATGCCTTCTGATCTTATTAATCACAGGAACTATAAAAAACATTGTATCCAAAAGTATATAAAAGATAACTTTTGAAGTCATGCTTAACATATTCAAAACATAGAAAAATGTATTTTAGAAAATATTAACGAATTATATTATTACAATGCTTTGAAATTAAAATGAACTCTGAAAAATACAGATTGTAAACACTTCATTACATTAAATTAATTTTCTATTACTTCTTAAAACTTAATTTCTTTCTATACAATACTATGGGCAACAAACTATCTCCAACAGACCATAATGACCTGATAGCATCTGTTTACCATGCCCCCGTTATACTGTAATTTGTATCACATCTTGTATTTTAATAAATTGTCTATGCCATTTCCAAAGACACTTCAGGGAATTAGCCAGACACATATATACATATTCCTTGAAAAATAGTTAATTTAATATCGATTAGTACAAGTTAATAATCTAAATATAAAAACTGAAACTATTTTAATGCAATTGTATAAATGGGAAAGGACTAGAAATCAGAGCTAAGCTAAGTCTGTCACTGTAAAACTATCATTTTCTTCCCCCCATAATTATACAGAAATATACAGTTGTTACACTTTCTCGAGTTGGATTCTTATCCAATAAAGACTGAAGCATTTATATTGGTACAGTTCTAGTTTAGCTTCAGCTATTCCAGAAGAAAATAGTATGGTATCAAATCATGTTAGCAGTTTGATTCCACAGCAGTCACCAATTTGCCAGTTTTTCGCACTTCCTTCTCTTTCTTCTGAAACTTTTCTTTCTGCTTCTCCAGTTTTTCTTGTGTTTTTTTAATATCTTTAATTTTTTTCTTTATTGTTGATCGGTCATTTTGACTGGATACTCCTAAAGCCTTTAAAAGAGAAGGTATGTTGAGCAGAGCAGAATATGGTAAAAAGAGATTCTTTTATTGTAGCATTAATTTTTATAAACAAAAAAATTAAAATTTCAAATTTTAAAATACCTTCCCTGTAGCTACAGCAGAAATAAAAAAGGCCAATTTCTATGGCTTCCTCTACAGAAGCAATTGGCAACATTATTGAAAAGTAGTCATTAATATGTGGGGGATGTCCAGTTCTTTAGTATCACTCTGGGCTAAATGGCAGGTATGTTAAACATTTGACTGGTGTCTGGAAGCTATCAGGTCCCGGATGGGGAATAACAGGCTCAGACCTAACCCAAACAGGCTGGAGGAGCTATCGATTCAGAAACCCATGACTTGATGGGGCATCAGGGAGAGAAAACTCAATCTTGGTGTACTTGACTCATTGCTCTTGCTGGAAAGTGCAGGTCAGAAGACTTTTACCCAGTTTTGGTAAAAAGGGAATGGAATAGAATAATCTTACATGGAGTTACAGGCACCAGAAATGATTGTTGTTGCTATTATTTTATATTATTATTATTATTTTGGTTTTAGCAAAAACAAAAAAACAAAAAACCCCACCAATGTAGCAAACCTGTTAACATTGTTTGTCATGATGATCTTTGAATCTTTATTGATTTCTTAAACTTTGTTCCAAGTTTAAGTCTGGAATCAACCAAATGTGT